ATGCTCTGGTTTAACTACAATTCAAGTAATGCAAAACGAATTGATATATTTCTTAAGTGTTATTTCAGAAATTGTGGTCAATATAAATAAGATTGAAGTAAGGGAGGGAAAGGGGCGTGAAAATTGTGGATTAAATTTTGATTAACATCTTAATAGCTGGTAAATGTGTGGCCAAAGTGCCATGCTTAAGTAATCGAGCGCAAAAGAACAGTGTGCATTATTTTAAAAGTAATTATTTTTTTAGAAACATACTAGCATAAAAATCATCTGGGCAATTATAATTTCTTGATTCCTGATGGTTAATAGGTATGAGCGCCACAATAAAGCCCGCAATTGGGCCCAAAAGCCGTATTTATAGCCCGACCAACGATTTGCACTGTTATTGTTGTCGTCGCTGAACGAGTCGTTTAATGTGTGTCTCGTTTGGCATTCAATCGCATTATTATTGCCGGAAATTTGTTGACAAAAATTAGATATTAAATATTTGTCGCATATTTGCTATCGAAAAGAGTTTAAATAAATATTACGACTTTAATTTACTATGTTGCTAATACTATTATGGTATATAAATTTAAGTATAATACTAAAACAAATGTAATAAAGGACTTATAAGATACGTATATCGCAAAAATATTCCGTACATTCACTTTAATCCTGTTCTCCTCATAATTATTAGAAGTAATGGCTATTTAGAAATTCAAAAATAATAATTCATTTTAAAATTACTCGAGCCATAACCTTAAATACAAACCCAATTCTTTAATATAATAATCACTTAAATTGCAGTTTTTTGGACAAACCTAAAGGAAGAATATATATTATAATTTAAATTTATTAATAAAATAAAATTTAAATTCTTACAAAACCGAGTGAAGAGAAAAAGTGTTTTGCTGTCTCTAAATATATAATATATTATAAAATATAATAGATAACAATAAAATTATGCGATGGTATAAATGATATACAGACCAGTTGTGCCCATAAAAGCGACCCTTCCGTCGGCCATAAGTAAGATGTGATCGAAGAGAGCGAACACTTGAGACGAGGGCTGATGTATAGTACAGACTATAGTCCGCCCCTCCGATGCCATTGTCTTCAATGTCTGCACAATATTTT